AGGTGGGGGGGTGGGGAGACAGGATGGAGAGGTGGAGAGGTGGAGGGATGGAGAGGTGGAGAGGTGGAAAAACGGAGAGGTGGAGGGATGGAGAGATGGAGAGGTAGAGAGACAGGGAGATGGAGAGGTGGGGAGATGAAGAGGTGGAGAGATGGAAAAACGGAGAGGTGGAGAGGTGGAGGGATGGAGAGGTGGAGAGGTGGAGAGACAGGGAGATGGAAAAACGGAGATGTGGAGAGGTGGAGAGACGGGGAGATGGAGAGGTGAAGAGATGGAAAGACGAGGTGGAGAGGTGGAGAGACGGGGAGATGGAGAGGTGGAGAGGTGGAGAGGTGGAGAGATGAGATGGAGGCAGAGAGAGACAGGGAGATGGAGAGGTGGGGAGATGGGGAGATGGAGAGGTGGAGATGTGGAAACATGGAGACACAGGGAAATGGAGAGGTCGAGAGATGAAGAGGTGGAGAGATGGTGAGGTGGAGAGATGGAAAGGTGGAGAGGTGTAGTCATGGAGACATGGAGAGATGGAAACAGAGTGATGGAGAGATGGTGAAATGGAGAGATAGAGAGATGGAGAGGTGAAGACATGGAGACATGGAGAGATGGAGAGGTGGGGACAGATATGGAGAGACGGAAAGATGCTTCAGGTCCCACCATGCCGTCTGCATTTCATGCTTGCTTGCACATCTCCTCCCATCCACCTTCATCTCAGGGAAGAGCTTTTTTTGCAGACATTTCCTTTGTGGTGGGAGTGCAGCCAGCGCTGCCGTGCAGCACAATGGGATGGTCTGGGGACAAGGATGGGCACAGCAGGATAGGGTCAGGCAGGAGCTGGGGCGGGGGGGGAAATGCCAGCCCCTCGTCTCCTGCCTTCTCCTGGGGCTGGGCAGGTTCCCCCTGTGCCAGGACCTGACAGTATGCAGGGGACCCTCAGTCAGGCTCTCCACGTCCCCTGCTCCAGGGCCCCAATGTTGATCCCAGGACCTCAGCTTTGGTTTGCATCCAACTTCACGGATTTGCCACTATGCAGCGGGTGGGGAAGGAGCAGGGTTTAAGGGTGCTGCCCGTGGGTGCTCAGCGGATGCACCTCTGCCAGCATGGGCAAGGGAGGAGTGGCAGCACGGAGGGCAGCTCCCTCCCTGCCTGCCCTCGCCTGCCCG